GTCCTCACAAATGATCTTAGCAACGACTTGGCACCTGAGCACCTCAAAAATACCGAGTCTGCTGGGAACCAAATTCCCTGACACTGATAGATTGCTTCTTCAACAGTAGCGTTGCATATGTGATATCTGCAACATGAACCACACACAGCTCTTCTTTCCCTTACATGTACACAGCAATGAATGATAATTCGATCCAATGATACCGCGGTTGCTGCTTCTCAGAAGTACCTTTCATATACCCGTAGTTCGGTGCAATCATACGGGCTGTTCAAGTTCCACAAAATGCTTTCGGCAATAAGCTTTTGAATCTCCAGGGAACTGGACACGTTTTCTCGCCGGGGGATAGCTTCGTATCCAATCGATGAACGTCCAAGTCGAACAGTCCTTCGATCCGACAGGTACTGGTGACATATTATTGCTCTCTAAGTCCAAACGAACCGGGAGGGTTTGATTGGCGAAATCTTCCATCATTGATGGGAGCTGAACAGGAAGGCGCCAAACAAAAGAAAACATATTTGTTAAGACTTCCCGGTCCGCAATATTGTGCTCCTCGATCTCTGCCATGGCAGCGGGTAGGCTTGCTCTCAACGTAGCAGCATTGATAATGCTATTCCATATGTGAGCAGCTTTGTCAGACTGAGCTTCAATTTCGACAACGAAGGATGCTGATGGCATGCCCTGGGATAGTAAGGCTGCAAGACGGATCAGCCATTCGAGTACAACGCGCATGTGATCGTGTAAACGGCACCATGTGACAGATTTTGGCGGGCGTGTGACTGCTTCCGCCTTAGCCCAGCAAGAAGGGACAATATTGGTGTAGAATCCTGCGTGCATACGGATGTGTAGCTTGAAATTTTCCAAGCAGAAAGGAATGAGGCCCTCGGCGTAGGCTTCTGGGTTACTGATGCTTCTTGCTTCTTCTTGGAGATTGATGGAACGGATGTTCTTGTGGATATCAGTCGGGAGCCTGCTGAGTGCATCGATACAGATCGCTGTCGCTGAAAAATAGAGCGTGACGTTTTCATATTCTCCAGTCCAGTCCCATTGGCCTGGCGTAACCGGCGCTAACAACTGCTCAAGGACTTGTAGTTGTCGGATAGTAGGGATATGCCACGGGATCGGGCGCCAGTTTAGAACTTGTCGGTGTGTTCCTTCCAGAAGCGGGCAAAGCCCTTGGTAGTGCTTCGATACGGTACACGCTTTGCCTGCGAGTGTATCAAAACTTGGAAGCGAAACAATCTGATCCAGAGTGTATTGCACAGCGTCGCAAAACGACGTCGTGAATACATCTTGGACCATTGCATCGGGTTGACTCATATGATAGAAGTCTCGGCCGCTTTGTATAGCTCGGAAGGCAGACTTGTAAACACTGCTCAGGCACGGAAATGCTTGCACGACATTAGCGAGAATATCATCCGTTACAAGTTCTGCAGCGTAATGCAGCATGACTAGCTTCGTCCATCGAGCTGAATGCAAGAGGTTTTCGAATCGTGATGCTCTGGAGCGCAGCCCGCGGAAGTCATCATCTACTGGTTGGTCGCAGCTTGACGTGAACGTAATAGTGTTGAAGCGAAGGGGAAGACCTCGCATCTCCTCCGCGATTGCTTTGCATGTGTAACCCAGCTCCAAACCTCTTCCGTTTACGAAGCGCAGGCGGCGCGACGGGAAGTCGCAGAGAAGTCCGTCGTCTTCATGCGAATAATAGGCGTAAATCTCGTCGCGGAGTTCCCTTGGTATTCGAAATAGTGGCGACGTACGTTGTTCGATCATGTTGTTGAGAATGACTAGGATCGGTAAGCCGGTTGTTTTGTAGATTTGGGTGAAGCGACTCTAGGTGCTGAGGGACGCGGGGCTTCAAATAGAACTTGCGCGTAGGCGCTACAACAGGCAGCCTTCGTCATGTGACTTCCCATTGAGCCATTGGAACCATGTTCTCAAGCGGCCACACAGGCAAGGTTCTTATTACCGGCAACGTACCATGGTACTGGAGATTAGCGAATTTCATGAGCAATCAATGCATGGCAATGATTGCACAGAGGTGAGGTAACACGCATGTATGAAGATACGTGGAGGATGTAAATATGGAGTACTGAAACTGCTCAACTTAGTCACTAGCTACTCTGATACGCGCAATTATTGACCCTCTATTCACCATAAGGATGTTATGATCCGTGATTCTTGAAACTTCAAGAACGCTCCTCGAAATACTTTCGACGGTATGCTTCTGCATCGCCAGGAAACATGACTTCATCCTGGGTCGGTGTGTAAACCCGAAACCAGTCCCCAAATGTCCACGTATCATATGGCTGTACATACGTCCATTGCTTATAGCGCTCGCTGTCAGGAATCTCGAGCCGAATCATGGACTCGTCGTTGATGATGTCTTCCACTATAGACGAGAGCTCTACAGGCAGTTGCCATATGAACGCGTACATGAGGAACAAACCAGCTTCTTGAGATGCGCTGCTAGATAGAAGCTCTTTTGGGCAGTGAAGTCTTGTGGATGCAGCTTTGGAGAAGTACTGCCATATATAGGTAGCTTGCTCGGAACGAGCGTCAAGAACCACGGTGAAAGACTTTTTCGGCATCCCGAGTTTGGTCTACGCAGTCGTGCGCATCAACAAATCCAACAAAATGCGAATATAAGCGTACACGTGAATCCGTAACTCTGTATCGAGATCGTCCAAACGTCGACTATGGAGGGACCAAAACGATGGGGCAAGCAGAGTAGAGAAGCTTGCTTGCATCTCGAATCGCAGCTTGCAGTTCTCCGTACAGTATTTGATAAGGCCTTCAGCATGGACCTCGGGGTTACCGACACTTTTGCAATCCTCTTGGAGTATGATGGAGCGCAGCTCTTTGCGAGTGCTAGGTGTGAGCTTGCTAAGCCTAGCGATACATACAGCGGCTGCCGAGAAGTAGAAATTGATCCTTGGATGACGTTTCACGCAATCCGCTCTTGGACATTGCGCAACAGTTAACAATTCTTCCATAGGAGAAAGGTCGTCATGAGAGGGGATTAGTCATAGGTCAGGCCGCCAGTCGAGGACCTGTTGATGCGATCCCGGGATGAACGATGACTCGCCACACGGGTAGTCTTGCGGCAGTTCGCAGGCCTTGGAGATGAGTTCTTGAAATTTGGGGTGAGGCGAAGTAAGGTCCAGAGCGTACTGTACTGCGTCGCAGAAGGATGTAGTGAAGATATCTCGTGGTATATGAGCAGACCATGTTATATGAACAAGACCGAAGCCTGGTCGGTTTGCGTGGAAAAAAGACCGGAAAGCGTCGCGCACGGCTGGATATGCTTCTATGACCTTTTCGATGACGTCTTCAGTCACGCACTCGGCGGCGCAATTGAGCATGATCAGCTTTGTCAATCGAGCTGAGTACAATAGATACTCAAACCTGCCTGCTATTGAACGCCGCTCACAAATTCTATCCTCATCGGTCTCCGAGCAACAAGGAACGAATGTGATGGTATTCACACGTAGATGGGTGCCCTTCATCTCGTTAGCTACCATCTTGCAAGTAAGCGGCAGGCTGAGCTCTGCGCCACTGGCGTGATTCAGTGTTCTCGAAGGGTAGTCGTATGCCAGACCCTCTTCATCGTAGGCGTAATAGTCGTAGATCTCATCGCGCAGCTCGCGAGGCAGGCGGAGGAGAGGACTTTGCTGCTGACCGACCGGTTCCTGGATCCTTGGGGCGGGTGATGTAGTCGTCATGGCGTTAGTCTGAAGAAAATTAAGATGAACTTGGGAGCTTCGTAAGATCTCATGGAGACGAGGAAAGGGGAATATGGCAGACTTTTATGTTGCCAAACCTGGAGGCAGCAGTACATCACCTGACGAAGCTAACTGACCCTCGACCAAGAAATGCGACCATCTCGTACGACAGTTTGGTTCTTTCCACAGAAACACTTTATCATCTATTCCAGACCCACTGTATGGGTAATGATCGTCGAACCCGCAGCTAGGTGGGTGGTACGCGGACAATTGGTGACTGGGTAGGAGAGGCCGGGGATGCGCCATCTCCTGAACACAGGGGTACGAACGCGCAATATGGATATGAACGTCAGATTGTTAGGATTGGAGATCACGAAACCACAGAGCCGGGACTGACTGAACGTGTAGTAATCATGAGGTTATGAAGTTAAGAAACCATCTCCCATCGCAGCGCGACTTCCTCAACCCACTAGCGTCTTGGCATATATTTTCCGCCGCAACACTATCACCGTCATCACCAAACCTATCGCCATAGCCGCACGCCCACCACCCACCGCCATCGCACACCTTCCCCGCCGTACGTGGCCCGAACTCACCCCCAAACCCACACAATGCTGTCGCGCGCCCTCACCCTGCCCATCCGGCGGCCGTCCACCTTCCAAACCCTGCGCACCACGCTCCGCACACGCACCCAGCACATCCACACACCAACATGTTCCTGCGTACGCCCCAGCCTCTCTACCTTCCGCTCTACACCCAGCACGGGCATCCGCGACCTCGTTTCCAGTTTCAACGGCCTCAGCATGGGAAGAAGGATACAAACGCGCGGCATGAAAGTGCGGAGTTCAGTCAAGAAGCTGTGTGATGGATGCAAGAGTGTGAGGAGGAAGAAGGGACGATATGTTTATATTATTTGCTCGAAGAATCCGAAGCATAAGCAGAGGTGAGTTTGGGTGGTGGGTGTGGGCATGGGTTTATTGGGTGCTAATACTGTGCAGGCAAGGATAGAGAGCTTTCGGACACACTGGGTCACGAGAGAGCATCTTTGGGGGTGATTGCTGGGTTTGTGGAGAATGATGTGAGAAAGAGGAGGAGCTGTATCATATGTATGCATAACAAGGCATCACAGGCGTTTACACGGCACTATGAGAATGGGATAGGACACTCAGCTACTGCAACAAATATCATTCGACTGCACTTGCAGGACAACCTTAGACACATATCAATCGTGTATATCATTACATCGTAACCCCCTCTCTAAAACCACCCAACTCCCGCTCATCCCATACTCCCCCCACTCCTATCCCCCGAAATAATCCCCGCCATCTTCAACAACTCCCTATCCATCTCCGCATCGCCCGTCCCCAAATTAACCCTCCTCCTCGCCTCGGCCTCCCTCTCCTGCCACGCCCACTCTTTCCTCTGCTGTTCCGCAACCTCATCTCCACCACACCCCCACACCTCCAAACACTCAATCTCAAAGCGATCCTGCCAATCCCTCTTCTTCCTGTCGGGCAACTTGCTCGGAAGGAACGAGCCCCCGCCTTCAGACAAATGCGTGAACACCGCGAATTCGAGCGCGTCATCGAGGTGCAGAGAGACGGGGCCGGGGCGGAAGGGCGAGTGCGAGAATTGTGTTGAGGAGGCTGTTTGTGTTGGGATGGGCGTCCCGAGGCCGACGCCCGCGGGGTGGGTGGGCGATTTGGAGAAGTAGGTGTAGTCTTTGCTGAAAGTGGAGGCGGGGAAGATGTCGTGGGTGGGGGAGAGTTGGAAGAGCTGGGTGGAGGAGTCGCCGAAACAGGTTTTGCCTGTGTGTTTCCATTGTGAGGATATGTAGGCGCCGTAGATGAGGGTTTGGTTGGGCGCGCTGGAGGTTATGCTGGAGGGATGGCGTTTGGGTGGGAGCATGTCTTGTAATGCGCGTTCGCGTGTGCTGGAGGGTGTTGCAGGGAGGAGACGACCTTTTACGAGGAGGATGGTGGGTGCCCGCCAGTTGAAGACTTGCTTTTCGAAGGAGCCCATGCTGAAGCCGTGGGTATTGCCGCTGTATAGTGGACGTAGTCTGCGGAAGAGATTGCTGCCCTTGATGAAGAACGAGAGTTGGCTGAGTGTAGTCAAGTTCAAAATTTCCCCAGGTTCCCGTAGAACCGGCTCCAGTTCTGCCTTCGGCGGAGGTATCACAGGCTTGCTCTCTTGGGTGGGTGAGCCAGGACCTGCCTTCTTTTTGGACAGGTCGAAGTCCTTCGCGAAGAGGAAATGCTCGAATAGTGGGTTGAGGCCGTTGAACAAGTAGGGCATCGTTGTTGAGACGACAGTGTTGAACGTGCGATATGTGACACCGGGGTGGCTCTCGACGTTGAAAGACGACAGTATGACATGTGCCGCCTGCCGTAATTCCTCGACCCTCTTCTCTGAGAGATCTGGTGCCAGTGACGAGAGACTTTGCTGCGCATCGATCGGCGCAATGAGCAGCAGCAGCTCCACCAGCTTGAGGAAGTTGTCCGTCGGTATGATCGAATGATGAACATTCGTCTGTTCCCCATGCTTGAACGCATCGATCGCATCCATAGAGTCTAATGCAGCCAGCACCAACTCATCATCATCCTCGTCTTCTCCTTCTTCTCCCTCATCCGGCGCATCAATTGCCCACCCCATATTACTGCTCCCGCCCTCCACCTTCTTAGCTTTATCTTCCACTTCCTTCTCCTTATCCTCCAAACTCGACCGTATCCCCTTATCATAAATCGCCAAACTCCTATAAACCTCCCTCAACCAAATCTCCTTTCCCCTCTTCTTAAGCACAGCGCCATACCTCTCCGTGAGTATAGTAACAACCTTGAGCAACGCGTCCTGCGTAAGTATAGCCGGGGCCTGACTCGGAAGCGGGAATGCGCCAAGGTAGCTAGCCATCTGGAAAACAACAGAGCCCACGCCGAGCGCATCGGGCAGTTCGAGGAAACGACATAGTGTGCTTTCGCTCCAGTATTGTACGCCGGATTCGGTGTCGGCGAGGGAGCGGAAGACGGAGTTGAAGCAGTAGAGTTCGAGCGGGGAGAAGCTTTTTGACGCGAAGCGTTGGGCGATGGTTTGGGAGAGTTGCTCTGGGGTTTCGTTAGTTGGGGTGTCTAGGCGGCGACTGCGTAGCGGCGGGTATGATTGAGAGGTAGTGGACTGCGTGTACTTACCCAGCGTCAGTTGCGGGGTATCGTGGGATGCTCCTTGACCCATGATCGCGGTAGCTGGGCGGTTTCGGCGCGGGGTGGCATGAGCGGGGAAGTTCCTAGGTCGTCGCGTCGCGATGCTGTGGCTCGATGGGCGATGACGAAATGTGATTTATCTCCGATAACACCGAAATTCTGGGGCTTCGACGCGTACATTGTCTATTCTCTTTCACATCAAGGTGCATCTACCGCGTATTGTTTCGTCGCGTCCGCATCCTCAGAACGAACCTTCGATGGCATTACTGCTTACTTCTACAAACTTCGAAGGATGTTGTCGCTGATATACTGCCTCTTTCCATGCATTATGCTACGCGATGGAGCAACGCGTCAAGCAAAGATCTTTCGCTGAAACCATCACACCAGTCAAGAGAAAGAAAAGACATCCACCTATAGAAGACGATGGAAGCAAATAATCCAGACACCTACATTGCGTCAGGGTTTTGCTAACTTCCATTCTGATACTGATGGAGTCTACAGAGCACCTGTGCATCCCCTACCCCGTCCGCGTCCACCCCGATCACCCCGATCACCGCGACCGTTTCCTCTGCCACGACCGCGTCCACCCCCGCGAACCCAAGTCGGCGCATCTCCCATGGTGAAGTTATCACTTGGAGGAGGTCCACCTCGACCGCGGCCGATATTGTAGAACCCAATGGGCGGAAGAGGACCGGCGGGAGGTGGAGGAGGGAATGCAGGAGCGGAACCATCCAAACCACTGCCACGACCCCCGCGGCCAAAGCCCCCACGACCGGAGCCTTGGACGCTGTGAGAAGCTCCGCCTCGTCCGCGTATAAAGTTCATGGTGTTGCTGTTGTAAGGCGGGTGACCTGTACTGGAACTGCTCTGCCCACCACGAGTACTAGGTTCATCGCTACCGCCGCGACCACGTGTGGAAGACCTAAGTTCATAGCGAGGCGCTTCAGCGGAACCCTCCACGGCAGGTCCGTTTGTATCGGAAGCTGTATGGCCCCTACCGAATCCTCCACGATGCTGGCCACGACCGCGGAAGAAGCTTGCAGCAACCTCCGGACTTGCGTTGTCCATGAATTTACTGAAATCATCCAAATGTTTGAACATGGATTGAGTGTCTGTCTGGGCTGGCGAGGATTTTGCCACTGAAGCCCACGTTGGTGCTTCTGACGAACTTGCCATAGAAGACCCCGTCGGTGCTTCCGATGAGCTCGTTGTGGGACCCCCCGGTTCAGGTGGGTAAGGCGAAAGCCCAGGCCCGAAATGACTTGCCGGTACCATTCTGCGTTTTGGGGCTTTCGGGGTAGGAGGAGTGACGTATTCGACTATGAATGTAGCGCCGTACTTCCTCAATGCGGTCTGTAGATGTGGTAGCATGGCGCCCAAATCGCTTGCTTCTGGAACCCGGTAACGAGCAGCCATGGTTTCCGCAAAAGCCTCGTCATAGGCGTACATTTCCTCTTCGATTGTTCGCTCAAAAGCCGATTTGTTAGTTTCAGGCACCCTCTCTTTGACCCACTCTTCCACTGTACGGAGAATGGTATTGCCTTGCTGTTTGAAGTGAAAATCGACAACGTCTTTCCAAAGTGGTGGCGGCTCATCGAGCCAAGCTATAATGGCAGTGCGTACGGTATGGTCACGGATCTTTCTGTTGTACATCGCTGAAGGCCCGCTGGGGCTGCGAGTATAGCCCGCTTCCCTTCCTGGTTCGTTGTACCATGGCTCCTCGCACAGTATCATTGCTTGTATGGAGATCAACACTTGTAGCAATGTCGACTCCCCAGGATTCCATGGCTCTCCAGACCATGTACCAAGTAAAGATAAGCAAACTTTACCGTCTGCGTAAAGATTTGGGTTGATGTTTAGACGACCGCCCGCTGTTCCCTTAAAGTTGACCTGCGGAGGGAGGTTCGGAAACATCTGGCCGCAGAAGATGTCGAACTCGAAGAGGCCATTTTCATACGGTGTATCAGCAGGTCCGACAATGACGCACTTGAGGATATCGGGCCTATCCTCGCAATAGCGTACGAAGATGCCCGGTGGCAGGCCCGTTTGCAGCGTCGTAATCTCTGTGATCAACCGCTTGAACCTTCCCGGCTGGGAGTCGATGAAGCCATTCGCTGTGTTCCAATAGTAATGAGTTTCTGACATCAGCGTGGAGTCTACATCCTTCAAACCGAGGCCATCAGGTACCACGACGGTCGCCTTGCCGCCTACGCTATCGGTCGCTGTGATCATATGCGTTTGAATGAAATCGGTAAAGATAGAAATGCGGTCGCATACCTGAAGCATCGTCAGGTCCTCGTCACCGTCGAAATCTTTTATGTTCGTATTGGCGCTCCGTAGCATCATTGAGCTCTGAGTAGTGAGGTTTCGTAGACATTCGGCTAGAGTGGTCACCTTCTCCTTTGCGTCGGGTACCCCGTCATTGAAAGAGAGTGTGAGCAAGTCTATTGTCTCAGGTCGCGCATATCGAGGGCCAAAGAGCGCTGCATTCGTACTGGAATGCGAACCCACCATAGTCAGGAAGAGGAACAGCGCCCGATAGAGGTATTTGCGGTTGGTTACGTCGGCCAACGAGTCGTTGCGTAGGAGCTCTGCGCAGTATGGGAGGATCTTGCTGTTGTTGAGCATTTCCAAGATAGCACCGGGAGGATCGAAATCGAAGCAGGTCTCCCGCTCGAGAGAAGGAAGCAGATCGGTCAAGAAATCCAGGACTGTGATGCTGAAGTAGTCTTCTTTTTTCAGTGCAATCCGCGCCTTTGACATGAAGTCGTCTTTTCTGTCCACCACATGTTTCGGTTTGGGTTTGGGTTTGGTGGGGTTGGGCTTCATCGAGTTCATAATGTGTTCAAAGCCTTTCGGGGTTGGTGCTTTCCCATACATGTCTTTCAGTGCTTCAGCATTAAAAGGCTCACCGTGGGTATCATATTCGATTTCGCTATCGTCTTCAGAGGTATCGTCGACGTACATATCGTAATTATGTCCACTGGAGCTCGAGGTATGCCCGCCGTAGCCCTTGCCACTAGGCATGGAGTCTCTCGAAAATCTGTGACCGCCCAAGGGACCTGTGTTTAACCCTCCGCCGCGGGTAGGCTTCTGGATCTTCATCGCCTTTGATTGCGACTCCGGCTTGACTTGCTTGGATACGTTCCCGAGATTTCTGGACTCCCAGATGCGCCGATCGAATCCACACAGGAGTGCCCATATCAGGAATACCCGCCCGCCCACACAACACCATGACACGTTCTGTGAGGCAAACCCGACCTTGGATGACTTTGTGAAGGCGACTGGCTCGCATGCGATGCATGAGCGCGTGTTGCAGTTACTGCATCTGAGATTGCAGGATAACTGATCCACCGTACCGTCCGCCCAGCCTTGAAACAGGTTCCGAATATCCAGTTCCGATGAAAAGAACAGGTCGTTGCATACGCGGCATCTGCGTGTCCTGAGGTGATTTGTGAGTTCCGCGAAGGTGTCTAGGGTAACATAGTTCGACCGCGTCTCGGGCTGGTAGTCTGCGATCCTTGTATCGTCCTTGTCTGCTTCTTCTATAGGGTTGGCAGGGCTCGTTGTATGCATGGCGGATCCGTCATCGGAGTCGTCCCTGTCTGCGTCGATTGGGTCTCCTTCCGACATCGTGCCAAACTCTCACAATAAGCAAAGAGCCTGGAGGTATTCTGTAGATCTTTGGGTGACAGCAGAGGGCTGGTAACTAGGCCGGAAGGTCGTCACGGATCTTGCGGTCGCCAGATGCGTTTGCCAGAAGACGTTGTATGCTGCGAGCAAGTTGAGTGTTGATAACGATTGGGTAAAACAATGCTCGCACAAATACGCGAAATGCGAGGCTGATTCCACGCTCACTCCAGCACGTGACGCAAACCGCAAACGCTGCTCATGTGCAAGCTGCCGTGTAGCGAGCGGCGCAGTGACGGAAGAATAACGCTGGCACTTCTGATGTTGCGATGAGGTGTGGAGAGAAGGTCAGTAAGAGCGAAAGGCAGCGACGGAAACGGAAACAAGGCTAACTACGGATAGACGCAGTCACCTTTACTTGCCTGGAGGATAGGTGGTCAGCCGCGCCTGCCCAATGGGAACTCACTGTTGTTACACAGGCGCCGCGGGTTTCAGCCGCGGAGTTAGGGCTGAGCATGTGACGTCGGTGCCTACCTAGGTAACCACATTCCTGGGAGCATCTACATGATTGCGGAAACACGCTACGACCGCGCAGTCACATGGGCATGAATATCAGAATCAACGATTATGCTAAAAGCATGGGTAGGTAAGTGTCGATACATCTGGATCTTTCCAGATCGCTGTCTCATTCATGTCAAGGGTATGAGCCGACGGCCATGCCAATGACCCTAGCTCCTTCCCAACACGAGCAGCAAACCTATTCAAACACCGCTGCAGATGCACGCTCAGACGCCTACAACATGACCAACCCGATACCGCCCATGTGGTCCTTGCTCGACTGGTTCCGCGAATCAATGCCACCCGGTATCGGCGCAGCGCGGTAGTTGTAGAGGTAGTAATGCAGGGAGCCGTCTCCAGCGCCGAAGCGTTGCTCCTCCAGGAACAGCGGGTTATCGAGAAGGGTAAGCGCGTTGAACACGTCAAAGTCGGCCTGGTTATGTTAGCAAAGATATATATTGGAGGGTAGGGTGCTCACCTTCTTTGACAAAATCAACGCGTCCTTCATCAGCAAGTTTAGTCGCTGCTTGAGCTTTGTCTTGTCCTTGTCTTCCTTATCGAATGCTACTTCTGTACCGTAGTAGAAGAGATATGCCGCCTTGATGGTATTGTGCTTCTTGTTGCCGATGACAGTGCTCTCAAGGTTGTAGAAGGAGAAGTAGTCGGTGATCTTGTGGGTGTTGGGGTCCTCAACAACGTAGCTCCACACGACTTGCTCCTTAGGCTTCTCCTTCGGCGCCATCCAGTGCTCGAATTCGGTCTTATTGAAGACTTGTGCCATGTCCATGCGCTCCAGGTATCGCCTCAGCAGATCAACAGCTGCGTCAACGTCCTTGGCCTCCATCTCGCGAAGTCCAGGGGTGGAGGTGGTGTCTGGGAGTTTGTACCGTATGATCTGGCGTTGCTTGGTGCTACCGTGGGGGAGAGGAGAGAAGCCGACATCGTAAAGCTTCTCCCAGTCGATGGCGCGGTGGAAGTAGCGGGCTGTTGAGACAGGTGTGGGGAGAAGGGAGCCGACAGTGTATACGGCCTGGAATGTGCCTTCGACGTAGCAGCGGCGGGTAATCTCTTTGATGAGGACGGGTGCTAAACGCTTGGAGCGGAGCTTCTTGTGGACGCACAGGAAGTTGACTTCGGAGCAGTTGAGGACCTTGTCGCGAACGCGCATTTGTATCGGGATGCCTGAGATGAATGCGACGAGCTTGCCTGAGGCGGTTGCGCGGACACCGACATGCCATTCCTTCTTCCAGCCTGGCGCTTTCAGGGCCCTGCTTGTGTTAGCCAAGTCTCCAATCCCTCTCTCCAATGACCTACCAGTTCAGGAATGACGGCGAGTACTTGAAGCGGAAGGTCGCATCCTTGTCTTCAACGTAGTGGTTTGTGAGCAGCTCGTATACCTCCTCCAGCTGCTTCTCGTCCTCCAGGTCCATTGTCACCCACTCAAAGCCAGGGTACATTGGGCTGGGATTCTTGTCCACCTCGTCAATCTTGATCTCCTTGATAGGGCCGTCCTTGATCTTCTCCTTATTCGCCATCTCCTCGAAGCTGGGTACGGGCTGTGTCTTCCAGAAAGCGTGGCTGGCCATGTCCTTTTGGCTGCCCTGCGGCGCCAGACCCGTCAGCATCTCGTTGATGTTGAGCTTCTTGATCAATTGCGCGAGTTCTTCCTTGTTGTTCGCCTTGCCCTGCAGTTCATTCGCCAGGCCGGGGTTGTTCGCGAGCAGCATGTTCATCGCTTCTTTGGGTAGGACGTTTCCTGCGGGCGCATTCAGGTCGGTGGTCTCGCCAGCCTTGCCTTTGCCGCTGATGGCATCCTTGATCTTGCGCTTCCTGCTCTTCTTCTTCTTTTCCGACGCGCCCTCTGCGCCTTCCACCGTCTCGGTCGCGTCGTCGCCGCTCTCGTCTGCGGATTCGGCTTCTGCCTGCTTGCTCGATTCGGCGACAGCTTCGGCCGCTGCCTGCGACGTCGCGTCGGGGTCGGAGATCTTGGAGGCTTCTTGGGGCATGATGGAGGGGTGTAGGGTGTGTCGGCGGGCTAGCAGGGAGGTGTGGCTGTTGTAGTCTTGCCTGGCAGCTCAGGAACAGGTAATTGAGCACTGAGAGCTGCTTTGGGTGGGGCATGGAGGGGCACCTCGAGTCGCGGCTGCACCTGCCCTGCCGTCAGCACCACAACTTCACTCACACATACACACGAACATGGAGACTGGTCATCGATGATCACAAACAACTTTGATACTCGTAAGATGACTTCATTGATTAGGCGGTTGTAACGCGAATCTCAGTACAAGATACAAACAGGTGGGTATCTTCCTAGCCAGACTCCAAAACACCCGTCAAACGCCGGCCCTGAAAGGCGCCCAAAAGCAACAGTAGCAAGGGGTATCGTAAAAAAGAAAACATCCTGAAGATACCATCGCGACCAAGATCCACAACATCGCCACCACAACATCCTCGTCTCACACTACACTACTCAATCACCCCTTCTACACCCACTTAACCCGCGTCCATACCATCTCAGCATCCATCTCACAACCATCAGTCGCTTCTCCATCCGTCCAGTACATGCATGTCAACACAAACAAACCCTACCCACCCCACCATCCTTCAGAACGGGACCTTCCCGGGGTAAACCCCGGTTCAGTCACTCAGGCACCGTAAAGGGCTATACCTGCTGCATGGGATAAAGGTGAGGAGCTGGTGTAACAAGACAGTCGGGCAATCCAAACAACACATAGTGTGTTCTTGAGCTTCAGTGTCTTGACTCCAAGAGGGTGGAGAGGGTTTGTTAGTAGCGGCGCGGTGGGGCACCCGGTGAGGCACACGAATGCGCTACTCACCCTATAGGTGGCACAGGGCCGCTACCTTGTCAGTGTTGAGTCTTGTGTAGAGGGAGGAGAGGCGGTGGTGGTATTGAGGTGGATTGGTGAGGGAGGTATAGAGGGGGGTTGGGTAGGTGTCATCCGGGGTGGACGAGTGGCGCTGGTGTGTGATGAGGGATCGTGTTGGTGATGTCGTTTCTCTCGTCTTCGTCGATATCTTGGATCAGAACGCTGGCATTCCTGTCCAGGTCTAGGCAAAGTCCTTCCTGTAGAGCGGGAAGTCCGTCGTCCTGGGCTCACCAGTCGGGCACGGATCACTCGAGTAGGCGGGCATCTTGGGCAATGAAGCCATCTTGTGCTTGCGAGGCGGCGCAGTACCGAACTCCATCTTGGCAGTAAACTTGCGGAGCTCGGCGGCGTCGAAAGGAGCAACCTTGGGCTTCATGGCCTCAGGATCGCCCCACTGCGCAAGTTGGCCCTTGGCGGCGAAGTCCTCGATCTGGGGCCCAAAAAGACCCTCAGGGTTGACGTAGACCAGGAAGCGCTTCTCGTGGATGTTGAACGGGTTGTGCTCGGACTTGTAAACGGGGATGTTAAGACCAGGTATGGCGCCAGAGAAGACCCAGTGATTCTTGACGAACGGATCGAAGTTGTCGGGGACGTTACCAGGGCCGTTAGCTTTCCAGGCGAGAATCATCGACATGCGCATGGGCTCCTTCTCGTACTTCATGCCGAAGTTTTCAACTTGCCTTAGGTATTCGTGGCCGAGATCCCATTTGTTGACGGCCCGAATCGAGTGTTCCCTATAACCCATGTAGAAGCCAGTGCGCGGGTCAGGTTTAACGCGGAACTCAAGCTGGCTGGGCTGGTAAGGATGTTTGGCGTTGAGATCGTTGGGCCTTCGACCATGAAGTTCGTTGTAAAGAGCGTTCAAGATGGCGCAGAGCAGAAGACGGAAGTAGTTGTTGTCGTGAACGAGCTCGATGATCGTTGCACGGTAGCCAACACACTTCTCGCCAATCTCGCGGCTGTTAATGGAGTCGTAGTGTTGCTCCATGTACTTGATTTGAGCTTCCAAACGAGCTATGTCTTCGAGGGATTTCCACTGTCGCAGCAAAAGAAGCGCGATCTGGCTGTGGTTGTATGTGGACGCCTCGCAGTAAGCATTGTGGACGTTGTCTTCGTAAGTCTTGATCTCGCGGGGCGACAAATTGTCAGGTACTTTCCTCTCCAAGAGACGGATGAGGGCGCGATTGTAGACGGCTTTCACCAGCTTGAGGCCTACCCAGATTCCACCGAGAGCTGTCCTAATCAGCCCGTTGGATACGGAGAGAAGTTCGCGGATGCCCTTCAGGACGGTCTGGTAGCATCCTAGCCAGACGTTCCAAGAGAACGCATTGTCGCCCCCGCCGAAAAGCTCTTCCATCATGACCAAGCCGATATCGCGAGAGTGTGACCAAATCTGCATCCAAGATCGGATACGGAGCTTGATCACAAGAACGATGAGATTCCAGCCGAGAAAGAAGATGTCGCTCAAAGCGGCCTTGATTATCACAGAGAACTTGGTGTCCGGTTGTCTCGGTCTGGCGGCGGCAAGGTCTGGGAAAAGGCACTCTCCGATGGTAATCCTGGTGATAGGTCGATCGAATACTCTGTCGATGCGACGCGTGCTTGTCCGGGCTTCGTACCAACGTCTCGCCTGTCTAGCAATCCATTGTACTGGGGCGGTTGCAACCGTCTTTGCAAACCGTCCACACAGGAAGAGAATGTGGCCGATGGGCGGCAGTTGGAAGTGGGCGATGAGGATGAGTGGATACGAGAAAAGGACTTTGATTATCTTCGGCCATACTACGTATCCTTCTGACCATCCGGTCAAGTAGTCGGTGATCAAGCCTACCCAAGCCAGGATCAGACAAGCATATCCGATGCGGCAGCCAGTGTGTCGAAAGGAAGCGTCGATGTATTCAGGGATCTGACCCAATGATTGCATAACGTGATCCTTGCCTTTGACGATGATAGCGATCCATGAGGCCATGACGGCGGCGGAAAAGACTGCGGCGAAGATTGCGATGACATCGAATGTGGAATACTGAGGCGTCCACATTACGTGCATTGCAGTCGTACGATCTTGATGAAGCTCGTCGGAACGAGCTCGGGTACGAGACTCAGCCCGAGTGTAGTCAGGGGAGGGGTAGGCGTAGCCGTCTACAGTAGAGAGGTCGGACTCGGGGACGGGCGTAGAGGAGGGGGCCGGAATGTCGTGGGTGATGGCGGTAGCAACAACTAGAGGGGAGGTCAGTCATCGTATATATGAAAGTGAGCACCGAGTAGTCGAAACTTACCTCCGACGGTTTCAGTGAAGGTAACAGTGATGGTAGGTAGAGGTTGTTCAAGCACGAGATAAGTCTTGACGACCATCTCGATATCGGACGCAGGTAACTGCCGTTGCGGACGAAACCAGACGGCGATACCCACCAAGTACAGTAAGGCGTCACCCCACATGATGTTGGCGGTTGTTGTCGCGCACTATCAGAAAGACTGAAGTATCGTGGGTAGAGGTGTCAGTGTGAACGGAGGTGTCGCGCTGCGAGCTAAGCGCAAGCAAGCTCGTGGGAGTGGCAAGAGACAGGTGTGATCAAGAAGTTATCAAGATGGAATATACCGTCAGTCGCCAGTGCGTAAACAAAAAGTCGCAGCGGCGGCGGGGGGAGTGAGCTTTTATGCACTCCAGGCAGCGAGGCTTTAGTGCGATTAGGTCAGCGACGAGTGTTGTTTTGGACCCTTTTTTTGGAGGTCGTGGAGGTGGGGGACCATAAGCGGGGTGGCGGAATGTTTGTTTCATTGAGTTGTGTTGTGGAAGACGTCATGGTGTTTGGTGGTTGGGAGGTTTGTGTGGTGGAGTGAAAGGGGAAGTTGCGAAGGGTGGATGGAAGGAACCGTGGGGACGCGGGAACATCAGCGACGCGAGATAGCGGGAGGAACACCAGAATCGTGTTAAGGACGTGTGTACGGATAGCAGATAGACATAGTGGCCTGGGTTACCGTTAGTATGTTGTTCAGATGCGTGGTCCTTACCTGTATTTATCCTCACCCAAACAACGCCAACTGCACACATAGAACGACGAAGCCATTTTTTGACGAACTATATCATTTCCACTACATCAGCCTGACTTCTATAGTCTCTGCGCTATGCTACCCACTATCCTCTTCTTCTGGTACTGAATCGCGACTGCCGTTGACATCAAACTCCGCCTCAGGGTATTTCCCACCAACCGTAACAAAAATACATTAGATCCAGTCCATCGGTCATGACAAAGCGTCCACAGGACGGGTATATAAAGAGAACACACTGTATGAAGGAGTAGTAAACCAAGGAAAAAGAGATACGCCCTGCGCTGTGCCGTCCAAGGGCACACGCCCACCCTTTCGATATCGTACATTGGATCGCGACAAGATGGAAATGTAATGGAAAAGAGAGATGTATGATGTGATGGCGAAAAGACAAAAAAGGGTATCGCTATGCAGGTGAAAAGCAAAATCTTGGGTCTAAGTGTAGATGCTCAAGCTCGGGATGAGGTACTCTGTGGTCCGCGTATCGTGGTGCCGTTCTGGAACTCGATTGTGAAGTTGACGAGATCTAGTTCAAAGGGGCCGACGTCAATGCTGCCGCTATTGGAGTTCCCGTTGCGGTCGTCTGTGAGCAGGGATTGTATGGACTCCTGTGCGCTCGCGGCCACGTCTAGGTCTTTGCTTTCCTGAAGCGCAAGGAGCACCGCTACACGGGCAAAGTCGAGAGCATTGATGTTGCTCGAGATGGGCTGTGTTACGAGCTCCTCCGTCTGGGCTTTGGCTTGTTCGTTAGGAGCCTCGGCTTCGTCGACCTGGCCGACCGTTTGGCGCTTGGCTAGATGACCAGGGACCTGCGCAGGATGAGGATGGTGGAGTACTGGGAGCGTACGCGACGGGTGAAGTGCGGTCCTTGAGTCCATCGAATGAAGACGCTGAGGTATTGAACGAGAAGCAAGACCATTGAAGGTAATGAGGGCGTTCTCGGCTGCGCAACTGAGCGAGAGCTGAGAGAACAATGACAAGACACGGGTGGCATCCAAAGGAACGTTGAACTTGGGGGCGGTCACCTCGATCAGGCGAGGAATACCAGAGCCCATCGTGGCGTTGTTGGCAGTGCCCTCGATGCTGGTCGTGGTGCAACCAGTAGCATCGTCGTTCGTACATGTCTTTCCTGTGAAGCCGTTGATGCATACACAGTTGCACGATCGGTCGCCGTTGAGTATGGCGACACCGCCGTTCTGGCAGGTAATGATACCGCTACATTGGTCGTTCCCTTGACCCGGCCCGGACGTGGGGAGTGGTGCAGCAGGTGCGTTGGGATTGTTCATGTTGTTGTTACCCCCGTTGTTACTTCCTTGAGTCTCTTGAGCGGCAGAGGTATTGGCGTCCTTGTTCTGGTTTGGTAGGACGACTAGGAACACGGGGATGACGACCGCGGCAGCGATGACGAAAAGCAAGACTATGAGGAGCGTGATGAATGTCCACAAGGGCATACCACAGCACCTTCGACGCGGCTTCTGCTTTTCGTTGCTGAATCCAGAGTCGGTAGCACCGTTGCGTCCGTTACCGCCCGACGGCCACTTCGTCATGCTGCCGTTGCGGAAGTTCGGGGTACCCCGGCCAGAGCGGTTGGGAGTTTCTTGACCTGGTGGTGGGAAAGCGGCGAGCATCTCAGACAATCCAGACTGACGAACTTGGTTCCTGTCGGGAGCACCAGTTTCCCAAAAGTCCAACCCAAGTCGACTTGCTGTGCGTCCGCGATCAAGGTTCGCTGCCAGTCGCGTGGCTCTTCGAATGAGATCTGGCAGACTCGTCAAGCTGCCGCGCGCTTCAGCGTCCCGGACCGCGTCCATGTCGAGCCTCGCGGGCCGTCGCATACCAGCACGCTCGGACATTCCGGGGTGTCGCAATTCCTGTTGGAGTGGTGATGCAGTCCCAACGTTTCCGGCCTTGCTCTTGTAGTCCTCTATCGTGTCTATGGAGTCCATTGAGACGGACCTGCTGAGAGGATGTCTTGAAATACCCGACGGACTGCCATCCCTCGCTGCGAGTGTTGCGGCTCCGATGCCCATGGCCCCTGCGCCAAGCCTAGAGCCATCAGGCTTCTTCCCTTCAGGTCCACCCTTCTTGTTTCCGAAGCTGTCCACTGACTTGATAGTCATCAGCGATGGCTTAGTCCTCCTGCCCAAGCTCGCCTGTCGCAGGAGGGCGGGCGATTGCTGTACGAGGCCGCTTCGGTCGTCGGAGTCGGTCGGGGTCGGTGAGATGGTATCGCGACTGTTTATGGTCTCGCCGTCATCCGAGTAGAGATCGTCATCGGGGTAGAAGTCATCCTTGTTAGTCGGGAATACATTGCTAGAAGCAAAGGACCCGCGTTGTGACTGTATCCTTGAGGAGTTGTTCTCCGACTCCTCGACGATGGGTGACACATACGACATCTGCGTGTAGTACGACGAAGGCCCTCTCCGCGAAGAGGGCGGTGGACCGAGACTTGGAAAGCGTCGCGCTTGTTGGATACTTGGCATAGGCGGTTGGGGTACAGGAAAGTCGGGTATGGAGCCTATCGAGGAGTCCGAGGCTATCGACGAGGTAGTGATTGGGCGCGAAGATCGAAATGAGTTAGGTGAGAAGGTGTCGGCATTCGGATGTAGATATATCGATGTTGGGGAGGTCGGCGAGGGAAGATCGGGCGAGAGCTGCTGTATAGGAAACTCGTCGGATACCGGGCGTGCGAACTGTGGCGGTGGTCTCAGTCTTTCTGGAGAGCGAGGTGGTAAGACAGGTGTCGGATCGGCTTTGTCCCTAGTAATGTTTGGCAGTGGCCATTGTGGTGACGGCGATCCCGAATCAATGTCACCTCTGCTTCCCGAAGGCGCCGGTTGCTGTGACTGTTCTACACGTTCCTGAGAGTTCTGCATGACGAGCTGGTTTGGTCGCCGGGGAAGGCCAATGATCTTCGATGTGTCTGGGAGTTGGGTCCTCTTTTGCGCAGCCTGCATCCGCTCTCTCGCCGCCCGTACCGAACCCTTCTTTGCGTCTCCATCGCTGCTTGCGCCTGTTGCACCGTATGCTGCGGCGCCCAGTCTTGGATCGTAACTCATGAATTAGATATCGAAATGTTGACGGTAAATGTGCCACTCGACACAAGTCTGGCTGTAAAAGGTTGTTGTGCAACGCGAGGTTCACACCCTCGGTGCGCGTGACTGGTAGAGTCGTCGAGTCTGCTCCAGGCAACGTGTGGGTTGTAAGAGTGTTGAATGTGGGTACTGTTGTGCGACTGTTGACGCATACGCACTTGTTGCAAGACAGCTGATGGCCAATGCGGACATGTATGACACGCAGGCCCCGGGGTACTCGAGCTCCCGAATGCTGGTCCAGGTACCTTCTCCAAATTACAGGCAAAGAAGTGAGTGTAGGGTAGACTCCAGGAACAGACGCGGTGATTTGATACGTGTCGGTACACGCGGAAAGCAGCGATTCCTTGCGTGAGCGACAGCCAGTTGCCTGAGGTTTCAGAGATTCAGGAACCAGGAGGCGGCTGATACACCGTATCAGATATCGACTAACCTACTCTCACAGATCAGAACGAGTCCTTTGCATGATCGGTGGTGCTCAATAGGGACTCAATAAGGACAGCAAGGGCTCTGCGGACGGAGAGTACACCGTGATGCAGAGTGTAACCGAGCCACTATAGCCCAAGAGCCTATGCAGCCCAGCAATAACATGCCAAATACGACGAGAGCGGACGCAGAGGCGATGAAGAAGGGAAGGTGTAACGTTCTCTGTTGCAGCACCGTGGCGCTGATCCCAATGGGGTTTCATAGAAAATCCATGTACTTACAGTAAGAGGTTCGCAGCCAAGTCAGACGAGCGTTGTCGGAAGAACGGCTATCGATAGCACGCGATGAACGAAGGCGGTTGAATAGAGTGACAGGCCGTTGAGCCAAGTATAAGGAATATGTACAAAGGGTAAATGCGGGGACTAAGCTACGCGGAGGTGTCGAAAGTAGTAAAAAGAAAGTATAATAGTTAGGATGCGACAGAATGGTGGTGGCGCAAGAGCTTCGAGCTCGCGAATGGCTTCAGGCCGAGATGGAATGGAAAGAGTGAGGATAGGCACAAGGCACGAGAGACAGCGACGACATGTCACGCAAATACAGAAACTTTGGAGTGGCAGGCAGGGCAGATTGTGGAACACGCAAGGTTGGCATGGTTCAGAGTTAGAAGCACGGACTAGAAGGTGTAGTGCAGGAAGCGAAGACGCCACGACATGCGCGGGCGACTCAGGGGCCTCGTACTGGTCACCGTCTATCGAAATCAGCATGGTGCGACAGTCGCGGGCAACGCACACGCTCCCGCCTCAGCACGAGGTGAGGAGAGGGTCCCAAAGATGCGCCCAACGTGCGCTGGTGCGAGAGCGTGCGCCGTTTCGA